GAGGCGCCGCCCGCGGGGGGAGGGGCGGGTGCCCCGTGGGAAGAAGCTGCTGCTCAAGGGGGAGTCGGGGGAGTCGGACTGACCACGCCCCCTCCATGAGACCACGCCCCTTTTGCTGGAGGCCACGCCCCTCACCTACAAGCCACGCCCCTTCTGACCACACCCACCCACTCCTGATTCCCATTGGCCCACGCGTCCCTTGTAGCCCCGCCCACTTTCGTGTGTAGCCCCTCCCACTGTTAGCCACGCCCACCCATCAATCACTGCTGTAGCCACGCCCCCGCCGTTAGCCACACCCCTTCCCATTATAATCACTTCGCTGTAGCCACGCCCACACGATTTGCGCCCCGCCCCCTGAATTAGTCAAGCCACGCCCCCATCCTGCATGACGTCACCGCTTGGCCACGCCCCCCGCGCGTTTTTAAAGTTTTTTATACAATAAAGGAATTTTTTATAGCGCCCCTCCCCCACCCCGGCGTCCGGGGGGAAACTGGGGTTTGGGGGTGTTTAATTGGGGGTTTTAATTTGGGGGGGTAATTGAGGGTGTTAATTGGGGGCTGTTAATTGGGGGGTGTAAATTTGTGGGGTTTCATTGAAGGGTTAATTGGGGCCTGTTAATGGGGGGGTTGTTAATTACGAGTGTTAATTGGGGGGATGTTGAGGGGTTAATTGGGGGTTGTTAATTAGCGGGGTTAATTGGGGGGGCGCTAGTTCGCGGGGTATTAATTGGGGGGTGTTAATTAGCGGGGTATTAATTTTGGGGCGTTAATTTGCGTGGTTAATTGGGGATGTTAATTGGTTCATTGCCCCAATGATGTCACTGCCCAGGCCCCGCCCCCTGCCGGGAGGGGACCCCGTGTCCCGGCGCTAATGAGCTCATTAAGGCTCATTAAGGGCCCAACCCCCCCTCCCCCCCCCCCCGTGGCCTAATTAACACCCCCGGGGGGGGGCGGGGCTGGTGGGAGGAGGAAAATCAGGAAAAAAAGGGAAAAATCACGAAAAAATGGGAAAAACCAGGAAAGAAAGGGAAAAATCAGATGAAACCGGCAAAAATCGACAGAAAACAGCAAAAATCAAGAAAAACCGACAAAGATCAGGAAAAAACGACAAAAATCAGGAAAAAACGGCAAAAATCAACAGAAAATGGCAAAAAACAGCTAAAACCAGCAAAAATTACCTGAAAATCAACAAAAACCGGCAAAAATAAACTAAAAATCAACAGAAAACGGCAAAATCAACAGAAAACATCAAATGTCAACAGAAAAACCCAAAAAATCAACAGAAAATGGCAAAAATCAAGAAAAAACCTAAAAACCCAGCAAAAATCAGCAGAAAACATTTAAAAATAAACAAAAAACACAAAAAATCAAATAAACAAAACCCCCAACAAAAATATAGCAAAAGCTAGCAAAAAACAACAAAAAACACCCCAAAAATCAACAGAAAACAGCAAAAAGCAACAGAAACCAGCAAAAAAATCAACAGAAATCAACAAAAGACAAACAAAAACCCAACAAACCCAAAAACCCGAAATCTAAACCCAAAAAATCCCAGAATTCACCTTGAGCGGCGGCCATCTTGGTGTGCCGGCGGCCATCTTGCTCCCGCTCCTGCATCATGGCCGCCATCTTGTTTGCTGCGCCCACAACCGCTGGCGGCCATCTTGGTCCTTATCCCAACACCCACAGCGGCCATCTTGGCAGGCGGCCATCTTGAACCTTATTGGCTCACCCACAGCGGCCATCTTGATCTTTATCCCCACATCTCGGTGGCCATCTTGGTCCTTATTCCCACACATGGTGGCCATCTTGGTCTTCATCCCCTCACCAACAGCGGCCATCTTGGTCTTTATCCCCAAACCCATGGCAGCCATCTTGGTACTTACCCACTCAGCCACGGTGGCCATCTTGGTCCTTATTCCTACACCTATGGCGACCATCTTGGTCTTTATCCCCTCACCCACGGTGGCCATCTTGTTCCTTATCCCCTCACCCACAGTGGCCATCTTGGTCTTCATTCCCACACCCACAGCGGCCATCTTGGCAGGCATCCCGGCAGCCATCTTGGCAGGCGGCCATCTTGGTCCTTATCCCAACACCCATGACGGCCATCTTGGTCTTTATCCACTTACCTACAGTGGCCATCTTGGTCTTTATCCCCTCATGCACAGCGGCCATCTTGGTCCTTATCCCCTCACCCACGGCGGCCATCTTGGCAGGCATCCCGGCAGCCATCTTGGCAGGCGGCCATCTTGCCCTCCCCCAATATCATCAATCGGCCTCCCAACCCCCCAGAAACCCCCAAAACTCCCCGAAACCACCCCCCGAACCGCCACCACCGCGAATTCCGGCCACAAACCACCAACATCTGGGACACGAGGGAGGCGGGAGGGGACGAGCCAGGGCCCTACTGCGCCGTTTAATAGATTTATCATATAAAAAATATCTATGTACATTTATTATCCTGGGATTAGGAGCATCCCGACGGGGGCGGGGCGGGGCATTAGAGCCGAGCGGGGGCCGGCGGCGGGGCAGGAGCCGGGGGGCTACGGGGGGCTCCGGGGCGGGTCACTCGCGGTTGATGCGCAGGCGGAAGGCGACGCGGCCGGCGAATTTGTCGCGCTCGTCGTCGGTGCGGAGCCCGGCGGCGTTGAGGCGGCATTCCACGTGGTGGTCCACGTTGGCCGTGGCGTTGGAGAACTGCACGGCCACCACCGGCTGCGTGTAGTTCACCTGCGGGGGAATCCCGGCGGTTTGGGGGGTCTGGGGGTTTGTTTGGGGGGGCTGGCAGGGGGCAAATGGGCTCGGTTTTGGGGGGTGGGAGGAGCCGAAAATACCAAATCTCGGGAAGAGGTGCACAGGGCATCCCCAAAATCCCAAATCTTGGACACAAGTGTACAGAGCATCCCCAAAATCCCACATTTCACTGAGAGGTGTACAGGGGATCCCCAAAAACCCAAATCCCGGGGACAGGTGATTCCCATAATCCCAAATCTCATGGAGAGCTATACAGGGCATCCCCAAAATCCCAAATCCTCGGGAAAGGTGTACAGGAGATCCCCAAAATCCCAAATCACGGGGAGAGGTGCACAGGGGATCCATCCCAAAATCCCAAATCTCGGGGAGAGGTGCACAGGGCATCCCCAAAATCCCAAATCCTCGGGAAAGGTGTACAGGAGATCCCCAAAATCCCAAATCTTGGACACAAGTGTACAGGGCATCCCCAAAATCCAACATTTCAAGAAGAGGTGTACAGGGCATCCCCAAAATCCCTGATCCCAGGGAGAGGTGCACGGGTAATCCATCCCAAAATCCCAAATCTCAGAGAGAGCTGATCCCAAAATCCCAAATCCCTGGAATTCAGGTGTCCAGGGAATACCCAAAATCCCAAATCTCAGGGACAGGTGTACAGGTGATCCCCAAAACCCCAAATCTTGGGAAGAGGTGTACAGGGCATCCCCAAAATCCCAAATCATGGGGGACAGGTGATCCCAAAATCCCAAATCCCAGGAATTCAGGTGTCCAGGGGATACCCACATCCTTGAGGAGATCCCAAACTTCCCCAAAACCCCCCTAAAACCCTTTTGGGAGACCCCAAATCTCCCCAAAATCCCCCCAAAACCTCTTGGGGAGACCCCAAACCTCCCCAAAATCCCCCCCAAAACCGTTTTAGGGAACCCCGAGAGCCCACGAACCCCCTCCCAGCAGGGTTTTGGGGTCTCCCCCACCCCCCCGAGGGGATCCCGGGTTTTGGGGTCTCCCCCAGCCCGAGGGGGTCCCGGGTTTTGGGGTTTCGGGTTTTTGGGGTTTTGGCTCACGTGGACTCTCTTGCCGTAGTAGGGGAAGTACATGAGGTCGATGGTGCCGTTGGGGGGGAAGAGCTGCAGGGGCCCCAGCAGGGCCGCGTCCTCCTCGTGCTGGGGGGGACACGGGGGGGTCCCCAAATGTCCCCTCAAAGGGGGGAGGGGGAGGACACCCCCAAAAATCCCACCCCGAAAATCCCCCGCTCCGATATCCCCCCCCAGACCCCGAAAATGGCTCCGAAAGGAGCCCCCGGAGCCCAGAAATGATCCCAAAAAATGATCCCAAAAATGATCCCAAAAAATCTCCCTGATCCCCCCGACTCCAAAACCCACCTGGGATCCCCAAAGTGATCCCAAAATACCCCCAGGAACCCCCAAAATCTTCCCAGTTCATCCCAGTTTGTCCCAGTTCCCCCCAGTTTGTCCCAGTCCATCCCAGTCTGTCCCAGTTCATCCCAGTCTGTCCCAGTTTGTCCCAGTTTGTCCCAGTGCCCTTACGGTGGTGGCCGAGTGTCCCTGGGCCCCGCAGGCAGCAAGAGAGAGACGGTGACAGGGACATGGGGACATTTGGGGACATTTGGGGACATCAGGGACACTGAGGGGTTGGGGACAGTAAGGGGACATTGGGGACATTCCGGACATTTGGGGACACTGGGGACAATGAAGGGTCATTGGGCACATCAGGTGACATTTGGGGACATTGAGGACATTTGGGGACATTTGGGGACATCAGGGACATTGGGGACAATGAGGGGACACTGGGGACATTGTAGGGACAATGGGGACATCAGAGACATTGGGGACATGTGTTGGGGACATTGGGGGACATTGGGGGATATGGGGACAGCCAGGGGGACACTGGGGACAATGAGGGGACATTTGGGACATTTTTGGGGACACCCCAAGGGGACAATGCGGACATCAGGGATTTGGGACACTGGGGGACAACAGGGGGACATTTGGGGGGACATCTGGGGACATTGGGGACATTTGGGGACAATGAGGGGACATTGGGGACATTGTGGGGACAATGGGGACATCAGAGACATTGGGGACATTTGGGGGTGTTGGGGAAATTTGGGGACATTGGGGATAGCCAGGGGTCATTGGGAGGACATTGAGGACATTTGGGGACATTGGGGACATTTGGGGACATTGGGGACATTTGGGGACCCGGAAGCTCTGGGGACACCTGGAAGGATTTAGGGTGAAAGCAGCAAATTTTGGGGTTGGGAAAAAAAAAACCACACAAAAAAAAAAAAAAAAAAAAAAAAAAAAAAAAAAAAAAAAAAAAAAAAAAAAAAAAAAAAAAAAAAAAAAAAAAAAACCCAAAAAAAAAAAACAACCAAAATAAAACAACCCACAAATTCAGCTGATTTTGGGACTCCCAGAGGGATTTTGGGGTGAATTCAGCAGATTTTGGGATTCCTAGAGGAATTTTGGGCTGAACTAAGCAGATTTTGGGGTTCCTAGAGGGATTTTGGGGTGAAACTCCCAAATTTTTAGAGTTCTAAAGGGATTTTGGGGTGACTTAAGCAGATTTTGGGATTCCTAGAGGAATTTTGGGCTGAACTAAGCAGATTTTGGGGTTCCTAGAGGGATTTTGGGGTGAAACTCCCAAATTTTTAGAGTTCTAAAGGGATTTTGGGGTGACTTAAGCAGATTTTGGGATTCCTAGAAGGATTTTGGGGTGACCTAAGCAGATTTTGGGATTCCTAGAAGGATTTTGGGGTGACCTAAGCAGATTTTGGGATTCCTAGAGGAATTCTGGGGTGAATTCAGTGGATTTTGGGGTTCCTAGAGGGATTCTGGGGTGAATCCAGCAGATTTTGGGACCTCCCCCCTTACCAGGTCACCCTTGGTCCGGGGCCGCTGGGCAGAGACAAGAGACAGTGAGGGGACAATGGGGACATTGGGGACATTTGGGGACATTTGGGGACATTTGGGGACATTGGGGACATTGGGGACATCAGGGAGACCTTGGGGACAATGGGGACAATGGAGACATTTGGGGACATTTGGGAATTTTGTGGACATTTGGGGACATTTTGAGACATTTGGGACATTGGGGGACACTGGGGACATTTGGGGACACTTGGGGACATTGAAGGGACATTTGGGGACACCGGAGGTGACACGAGAGAGACCCTGAAGGCGACACTTGGGGACACTTGGGACAATCCAGGTGACACTGGGGGACACCGGGGGGGGTTGGGGACATGGAGGGGACAGTGACGTCACCTTGGCGGCGCAGACGATGTTGATGCTCTTGTTCTTCCCCGGGAAGAAGTTGATGACCTGCAGGACCAGTATGGACCAGTAAAAACCAGCATGGACCAGTACAGACCAGTATAAACCAGTATGGACCAGTATAAACCAGTACGGACCAGTACGGACCAGTATGGACCAGTACGGAGCAGTACGGACCAGTACAGACCAGTATGGACCAGTATAAACCAGTATGGACCAGTACGGACCAGTATGGACCAGTATGGACCAGTATGGACCAGTACAGACCAGTACAGACCAGTATGGACCAGTATAAAGTGATATAGACCAATATGAGCCTCTGGGGATCATTACGGACCTGTATGGCCCAGTATGAACCAGTATAAACCAGTAAGGACCAGTAAGGACCAGTAGATCATCCCAGCTGCTCCTGGTCCCTCCCAGTCCCATTAACCGCAACAAAACAATGCCCACAACTGCTCTCCCAGTACTCCCAGTATAACCCTCCCAGTATAACCCAGTATAACCCAGTACTCCCAGTATAACCCAGTATAACCCGGTCCCTCCCAGTATAACCCGGTCCCGGCGGGGCTCACCCGGTTGACCTTGACCAGCAGGCAGGGCCGGCCGCTGCCGTAGCCTGCTCTCCCAGTATAACCCAGTATAACCCAGTTCTCCCAGTATAACCGAGTATAACCCAGTTCTCCCAGTATAACCCAGTATAACCCAGTATAACCCAGTTCTCCCAGTATAACCCAGTTCTCCCAGTATAACCCGGTCCCGGCGGGGCTCACCCGGTTGACCTTGACCAGCAGGCAGGGCCGGCTGCTGCCATAGCCTGCTCTCCCAGTATAACCC